CTCAAAATTGTTATGTTAATTGTCATTGTTATCTTATGTTAATTGTCATTGTTAAAACTAATGCATTAAGGGCAACGTTTTTTTTCATCAAAATCTTTATTACTTTCAGCTTGCGTTTTTAACTACCAGTGATCTGCATAACTAGACGGAAGAACATAATAAGGTGTATCTTTCTTTCTCAAATTTCAACGCCTCTCACTGATCTTTTTTAGGTTTGTGTTTATAGTATTTTATAATTACTCACGGTCACGTAGGTTTTGCATCAGAGATTATTTATCTGATCTTTATTGCGCGTTGATTTAAATGTTTGTACTCTCCATTTTATTCCCGTTGAAAATCCATATTTTAAGGCTCATGGTTTTTTTTTTGCCTTCCAGTTTAACTTTGTTAGAGGCTAGTGCGTAATTGGTATTAATAACATTATTAATAACTAATACGTGGCTGATTACTCATTATGTCTTTACTTAATATACTGTTATAATAATGATTTTTATAGTTACAAAAGTACATTGAGAATTTAAAAAATGTCGTGCAACATTTTGAGCCCCGATCTCAAATTTCAAGTATCTTAAGTATGAATTCTTTCTAAGCAAACGTCAAAATATGTCAATAGCATTATTAAAAATGTATTTTTTGAAGTAAATTTAGGAAGTACTGTATCCAAAGTTATAAACATTCTTGCATCTATAATATAACACACACATACACACTCACTCTCACACACACACATACATATACACACGCACACACACTCACTCACTTCGTACATACGCATCACCAATAATCAAATCCTTTTCCTTAACGCAAAACTTTTTTAAAACATTGAAAACAAAAAAAGCATTTAGTAAAAAAAAACAAAAATTTAAGAGAGATAAAGAACAAAAGATCGCGTACGTACTTAAAAGACGTTTGAGAACAACTGAATTAAATTAGATATTTAATAACTTAAATAAAAATTATTTATTATCAGTTATAATAGTTAAGTTCTAGAATATCAGATAAGGTCTAAAATATTCATTACAATTTTTTATATTATGGCCCACAGTTTAGATTACGAAACTTAGAGCAGAAAATTCAAATAAGACGTCAAACTTAATTAAACTTTGAATGAAAGAATAAATTGACCACACAGCTATAAATCCTTAATCAACGTGTATTGTACTTAAATGTTTCAGATGTCCAGTCATCAACTAGGTAGAATCTTTTGTTGTTGACAGTAATGAGACTCCAATTTTTCTAACAAATCAATAGACTCATCAGGACACTGCTTACTCAATTGAAAACTATCAAGACTAGTATATAAATCTGGTTTAGATAATGCGTAAGGATTTGCTTTTGGGAATTCTGTTAGACAAAAACCTCTTACTGTGCTATGAGACAATGCTAGAGTGTTTGCATAAATTGCTTGCATACAGGCTGTATAGTATTTTCAACTTTAAGGTGGTAGACAAACTCATTGTTTCTAGAGTATTTATCGTATCAGTTAAATACTGCTCTTCTTTTAGTATCGCTAATAAAAACTAATTATTTAACCATTTCAATTTTTTAGATTTTTATCAAGTAGACAGAACATGGTTAAAATATGTTGTCTTATTTCTTCATTAATATCACATCACCGCTAATTTTTTTGAAAGCACATAGTATTTTCACATCTTGGACCAAGTTCTTTGGCATTTTTTTGAATCTTTTTCGGAGCTCCATCAACTAGTTTAGTACCGGTATATTCTTTACCTTGCTCGCGCAGTCTTTTGTTTTCATTCACAAAAGTGCTTTTTTTATGCTTTTTTTTTAATGCGTAGTTAAGATCATGCCTAATATTTAATGCATTACTTGATTTGTCAAAAATATTGGGTATTTCAAAGTTATTATGGAGTTGAACTGTTAAAAACGTTCTTTCCCTTCCCGATAAACCATCATCATTTACTATTTGAGCCATACTGCAATCAAAATACGTTATTTTAACAATGTTAAATGACATTAAATTTATGAAACCCGGATGCATTTAATATTTTGGTGGACTCTTTCTCCTCACTCTTCTTATTTTCCGTCAAATTTAATTAAACACAAGTTTTGTATAGTGGTTAAGAGCCACCCCCTCCCTCCTAAACGGCCTTAAAACTTAAAACGTTTAAAAAATAGTCTTTAACGTTGTAAAACGACCCATAAAATTGCAAGTGGATCTCTAAATTCGTTACGACCCCCAAATTTGGGTGTAAGCAGCCTAGCCACAGCTCTATCCATAGGTATTATTATATGATACCTATATAAAAAAACTAATATTTTAATGTGCCTAATAAAATTCGCTAAGACAAAAAAAATTGTTTCTTAATGTTTTATAATTTTAATGTTGTATAAACATTAAAATTATAAATTATAATTTACTCACATTATAAATAGATGATTAAAATCACATTATAGATGGTAATAATTTCAACTTAAATATATGTATATATATATATATATATATATATATATATATATATATATATATATATATATATATATATATATATATATGTATATATATGTATATATATATATATATATATACATATATATATATATATATATATATATATTTATATATATATATATATATATATATATATTATATATATATATATATATATATATATATATATGTATATATATATATATATATATATATATATATATATATATATATATATATATATATATATATATATATATATATATATATATATATATATATATATATATATATATATATATATATATATATTAAACATCTTTGCTTCCAACAAGGCTGCAATCAACCACTAATTAGTGTTGGAAGTTACTGGAAGAGAAGATAATAAGTTTATAGGGCAAGATAACAATTGACAGACGACTTAAAGGATTGCAAATTATACGAATCAAGAAAGCAAGATGAAGGAAGCGAATTCCAAAGAACTGATGTTTGAGGAAAAAAACTAGACGAATAAGAGTTTTTGGAGAACTTAGAAACAGTAACAGAAAAATCATCAGCAAGCAAGGTCACCTTAGATGTGAGAATATCTGGAAGATCGTTAATGTAAATTAAAAAGAGTATAAGGCCAATGATTGAACTCCGGAGGACACTTCTGCAAAACTATAATAGGTATGTTGTCTGGGCCACAAGCTGTAGAAGAGTCTAAACAGGAAATCACTTTAGATACAGAAGCTGGAGTGATACGAATGTCAAGCAATGGATAAACGGCTATATCAGGTAGAACCTAACTAGTGGAATCAAGAGATGATATTGATGAAAAGTTCTTAGCAAACAATTCAGCTTTGTCTTTGGTTATGTGACAAAGTCTGAAAGTATTGTTCTAAAATTATTGTAAATTTTTCATTTGCATTAACATATTATATATCATATAACTATTTAAAAGTATTGCATTAATTTGTTAACTAATTACTTCTAAACAAAATCAAATGTGGTGCACTAAACTTTGTGTTAAAACCTAAACAGATTTATATATCAAAAGTAAATGAAAAGTAATGCAATTATTGTTTTCTTATGGCGGAGATAGCAGATAGACCGATTTTGTGCGAAGCCATTGCTATGTTTTTATTTGTATTTTATATGTATTAACTTTTTTCAAAAAGTACTATTTTAATTTTGAGAATTTTATTTCATAAAAATTTTTCTGATTTCCTTTCATGATGTGATTGATGTGAAAAATGTAAGAAAAGATCTTTAATTTTTGCAAAAGTTAAATATAAATTCTGGATAAAAATTTATTGATTTTTTTTGTAGTAACAGGCCTGTAGCAACAGGGCGGGCAGCAGGGGCATTGCCCTCCCCCCAATAATTTTTCAAATAAATATTTTTGAAGAAATTGACTAAAATAATGACTAAAAAAAAAAAAAAAAAAAAAACTACTCGTGGTAGAACTGCGCCCCCCCCCTAAAATAATTTTTGTTCCTACGGCCCTGAGTAAGTATATAATAAAATTTAGTAAACATAAATAAAATCTAGTGTTTAAATCACCAGATTTAAACACTGTTTAAATCACCAGATTTAAGCACTAGTAGGTGTTTAAATCACCAGATTTAAACACTAGTTGGTGTTAAAATCACCAGATTTAAACACTAGTTGGTGTTTAAATCACCAGATTTGTCTTGAACAACAGTAAAATTTTCACATATAAAATTTTCACATAAAAAAATACCAGTTTTGTTAATAATTGTTATTTCAAAAAAGTTTCTAGGTAGGTAAAATTATGTTTTTGCCTCCTAACCTTTAGAATACAAACTTATTCTTATCAAGCTTTCTAGCTTGATAAGAATAAGTTTGTATTCTTGTCCTTTTAATGCAAATATATATTTTTTTATAAATTATGCATGTAAATATTTTTCTTATTAAAAATTTACATAATACTTTGAGTGGGTTTTATAAAGCAATACTCTAAGCAATATAAGGCATTAAATAAAAATGATGCTTGGTTTCAATAAATATGCAACAAATTTCATTGATTAAGCATGGAGAAATTTAAAGCAGACATTTTGATGCTTCTTAAATAAGAAAGCTTAATGACCTGATTTCCTGATTCTGTAATCCAGAAATCAGGTCACTGGTAATTATATATTAGATAAAAAAATAAAAATTACAAGATAAAATCTGTGCTTGTAATATTATTTTGATGCAACATGGAATATTTATACTTATAAATTTTTTAATATTGAGCACGAAAATTATATAAAATCACTCCAAAGTTTTTTTTATGTTGACCAGTGTTATCATTAATATTGCTATTATTGCTATTATTATTATTGCTATTATTGCTATTATTATTATTATTATTATTATTATTATTATTATTATTATTATTACTAGTATTATTATTTTTGTTATTATTACTAATAATATCAACATTGTTGTTGTATATAATTATTATCTAAAGATAGATATAATAATAAAGTATATTTTGAATTTGATTTTGAATATTTGTTATTATAAAATTAAATTTTGTTACTCTACTTTTTCAATTTAGAAATAAAAGTAGTTTTACAGCAAAAACTAATAAAATAAAAAAATTGTTGAAAATTTTATCAAGAAAGGACAAAGTAGTCAATAAGCAAGCTTCATGTCTAAGATGGTAAAAGTTATTGTATTTTATTAAAATTTATTCAAAGTATATAGGTGTTTTTTTAAACAGTTTTTTCACAAAGAAGTAGATGTGGTTGGTACTGTATAATATGATGCTACAATCAAGATGACCTAATCTGATATCAGTTAGTTTTTAGTACCGTTATTAGTAGAAGTAATAGATTGCCTTACTTTAGTACTTTTATAGCTTTAATTCAATGTTGTATTTAAGCAATTGGTTTTGGTAAACTGCATTTTATTTTGCATTAACAGCCTTGCAATTGTTGAAGAATTCTCAAATAATATCATATCTAAGCAGAACTGTGGCTAGGCTACCTAACACACCCCTAATTGGGGGGGGGGGGTGTATTAAGTAGCCTAGACAATAATGCCCAAATGACAGGTTTTGGGGAACAAGGGTCTGAGACCCTTGTTCCCCAAAACCCTTTCTGCTGTTTTATCTCAAGACTTCAAAGGTTTTATTGCTATTTCAACAACAATTATTTGTTCTTGGTGATTATTGTAATAAATTGGATTTTTTTCAAAATGTAATGTTTAAAAATATAAATATGTTGTATATTTATGTTGTTTCTTAGTAGTTATAGCATATTTATGTTGTTTGTTTTATAATTAAAATATGTTATGAACATTTATGCTGCAATTAATAAAAGTTATTTTTCAAAGCATTCACCTTATCAACTTTCCTTTTATGCAATATAGTTTTTTTTTAATGTTTCATTTTTATGAAACATTTAATAAAATTAATTTTTAGTTCAGTTTATAGAGCTAACATTTACTTTTGCTACAACTATCTACAATAGTTTTTAGAATTGCTAAATTACATTTTTATTTTTTCAATTTTAGTTAATATATGTCATTTTTCTAATATATAATATCAAATCTAATATCAAATCTAATATAATTTTTTCTAATATTAAAAATCTAATATAAATTTTTTAATTTATAATTATCTCATTAGATGTTCTTATGGGACTCATTAAATGTTCGAGACCCCTAAAAACCAGTTTTACTTAAAACACATGGGAATTATGTTTAATGTTAACAGACATTTTTTAAAATGTTGTTTTTTTAAATACAATTGTATTGTGACAACAAAACAATCGTGTTTAAAATTAAACAAATAATTGTAATTAAAAATTATGCAAATAGTTTATTTTTTTTTTTTTCAACAGCTTTGCTTATAACGAGGCTGCAGGTAACCACTATTAAAGTTGGAGGTTACTGAAAGATAAAAGATGAAGTTTATAGAGCAAGATAACAATTGATTGACGACTTGAAAGATTACAAATTATATGAATCAGGAAAGCAAGATGAAGGAAGTGAAATTCAAAGAACTGATGTTCGAGGAAAAAAACTAGACTAATAAGAGTTTTTGGAGCGCCTAAAAAAATCGTCACAGAAAAAGGATGAAAATTAATTGAATGACAAGTAACTGGAAAATGAATTTTAGTAGATGGCTGAAGAGACACTAGCTCTTTCGAGCATGATAAAGAGACCTTAGCAGATAAATGTTCTAAAAAGATAAAAAGATAAAAAGATGCTAATTTTACAATGGATTTGATATTAAGGTTTCCTTTTCAAGCTCAAATGACCCTCCAAGCAATCAGAGAGTGTTGCCTACTTATCAAGACAAGAATAAATGGTAGTATTATCGGCAAACAATGCCACCTTAGATGTCAGAATATCTGGAAGATAATTTATGATTGTTAGTGATAATTAGGATTGTTAATGCAAATTAAAAAAAGTATAGGGTCAACGATAGAACCTTGAGGAACCTTGAAGGAAGTTACAGGATATGAAGCAGAGTTCTGTTCATCGAGGACAACTTTTATACTAGGATTGGAAAGAAAGGTTTCAATAATCTTAAAGATGTTATCTCAGGCCTTCTCAGGAGACACGTGCAGTCACGGGCCTTAAATGGCCACACTTTTTTTGTTGTTGTTGATAACTTCCACTGTCCACGATTTTTTTGGATATTAAAAATGGCGCATTTTAAAAAGGCGCTGAAACCAAACTAATTTGGTATATTATTTTACTTTTTTTATTAATTTATCATTCTATTTATTCATGAGAAAATGAAACATAAAAATTATATAAATATAAATTTAAAAAAAAAATTTTTTCAAATTATTTTGTTTCTTCTTATTACAATATATTCTGGTTTAATGCCGGTTTACATAAAATGTAGAAATATAATAAAATAGCACCAGGTTGCGTATTATTGGGGCCCCCAAAATATTCAAAAAGACTGTTTTTTATTTAGAAATACTAAATAAAAATTTTTTTTCATCAGAAAAAAACCCGTCTTTTTAGTATTTTTTAGCAAGCCCCCACATAATAAATTGATCTGGTGTATATGGCATTTGATTTTATTAGAAATTTAATGTCATGTAAAAATAACCATAAGCGATTTTTTAAAAATGCGTCTGTGATTCTTTCTAGATCATTATCCAAATTATTTTATGTTTTTTCTTTATTTTTAGGGTTTCTGTTTTTTTCAGCAGTGATATTGGATAAAAGTCAATAAACAAAACAGAAACGTGTCCGAAAACTTTTTTAATCCACTTTACAAGTTATATTACAAGTTATTAAAGTAATAAATAGTTATTATTATAACAAAGAAATTTATAGTATTTTGCTACATTCACTGTCAGTAGAACAATTTTCATCGTCACTACATCCTTTATCTGTACCCGAGATGTCAGTAGAGCTATTTTCGTTTTTGGTGGATTTTTCATCTCCTTCATCTGAACACAATAGTTCATTGTCTGATGAACTTATGTCACTTTGTGCAGTTATAGCAGCTTCGTTTATAATTATGATTTGCGCCAATGTTATTTTTTTTCAAGTGGAAATTTTTGTATTCTGGATTTTTGTAAATATTTATTTACAGCATTTTGTAAAATCTAGTTTTGTTTTTCATCAATCCATACATGCTGTTTCCTGAAATAAGCATACACTCTACCAACGTATTATGCTTCATGCGAAGCCGTTTATTGGATATATACACAATATACCATGCTGTCTACACATTTTCTACACAGCCTTAATTGTTTCATATTACCTTTCTATTCCTGTATGTTTTTATCCCCAATCCTTTAATGCTCTGTAAAATCTGATTTAGCGCACTTAGTTCTACCCGCCCCCTTCCTTTTGGTCTACTGTTTTATTGGTGAAATATACATAAACAATCAATAATAATAAATCTTTGTTTGAGTTATGTGCTTTTTGGACATCTTTCCAACAACTTTTAATTGTAGCTCTTATTCTAATATAATCTTCTCTCCTATTTCCTTTGGGCTAAAATAACTGGTTTTTGAGTGCAGCTGTGAATGATGTTACTGTAACAAGTATTTTATTTATTTACTTATTTGAATTTTCATGCTATATTTTTCTATACAATGTTCTTATATCTGAAGGTATTGTTGGCTTAGCATTGGAGCAGCCACAAATAGTCATTAACACTAATCCAAAGTAGCATCCATTATTGACCAACATTTTAGCGTACTGAAGTACTACTCTAGAGCTGAGTTGATGGTGGTAGGATTTGAACTTGTATTGTTCAACAGTCCAGATTTTAACTTTTAGTTTGATGCTCCAACCAACTGAGCTATCCCGCCACATATCTATTGCAAAAAAAAAAAAATCTTTATATGTATTGCAAAAAAAAAATTTTTTGAAATAGTTAATTTAATTAGCCTAAAAAAAATAAAAAATTAAAAAAAAATTATTTAAATTTTAATTTTTAAAAATTTTTTTATATCTAAATTTATTTAATTTCCTATTTTATTAGTTTTGCTTTCTTTGTTTTGAAACATTGTTTTTTTCGAGGAGTATTGAAACACTTAATATAATAAAACTTGCAAATGGCTGTGATCAAGGTGTCTGAAATAAAAAACTTATGCGTGGGCAAACAAGATAAATAACTGTACTTGTCTCCTGGGACAGCTTGCGCTAAATTTTAAAAAATGAAAAAATAATTTTGTTTGCAAAACCAAATTAAAATTCAAGATATAACGATAAGAAAAAATTAATATTTTAATATTTGATTGCGCACTGATTATGTATGCTTTTAATGAGAGAAGACACATTTTTTTATTGCTGCTAAAATAAGTTTTTATATTTTGAAATAATTCGAAAATGGAAAAATCTTTCACAATTGTAAAAATTTTTTTTGAATATCATGAAAGCACTCTACTAAAAACCTTTGGAGATTTGATAAATTAGAAAAAAATGTTACAACGAAATTGAAAAATTAAAAAATGAAAATGCTTTACTGAAGAGAGAAATCTCTGAAATTATTAAAGCAATGAATTTTCAGAATGAATATTATGAACAAGTTGTTAAGGAATCAAATAAAAAATAAATTAAAAGTAAAACTCAGTACAGGTAAAAGTAAGTTGCAACATCTTTACCACCATCAAAAACATGCAATGCGAATAATAGATTTTTAAAATTATTTTTCAAATACAAAACCATTCATATCTTTGAATAAAAAATTTTTATTCAAAGATATGAATGTATTAAACGTTTATGAACTTAACTTGCATAATACTTTATGTTTTATGTTTTGTTTTATGAACAACCTTTTATTACTTGTTTTTAATGATCTATTTACCTTTAAAGTAAAGAATAAATATAATTTGTGAAATAATAACTATTTAAAAGAATCTTTTTGTCAAATAAAGTTAAATCAATTTTGTATAGATTATTTTGTATAGATTAATTTTTTAATTGATTTTGTTTGTGGAAATGTATTATATTGCAGTAGTTTTTATGTTTAGTATGTATGTTTTTATCCCCAATCCTTTAATGCTCTGTAAAATTTGGCTTAGCACACTTAATTCTACCCACTCCCTCTCTTTTGGTCTACTGTTTATTGGTGAAATATACATAAAAAATTAATAATAATAAATCTTTGCTTGAGTTTTGTGCTTTTTGGACATCTGTCCAACAACTTTTAATTGTAGCTAACTCTTACTCTAATATAATCTTCTTTCCTTTTTCCTTGAGGCTAAAATATGGTTTTTGAGTGCAGCTGTGAATGATAAATGTTATTGTAACAAGTATTTTATTTATTTATTTATTTATTTAAATTTTCATGCTATATTTTTCTATACAATGTTCTTATATCTGAAGGTATTGTTGGCTTAGCATAGGAGCAGCCACAAATAGTCATTAAGAATAATCCAAAGTAGCGTCCGTAATAGACCAACATTTTTTGTGTACCGAAGTACTACTCAAGAGCTGAGTTGATGGTGGTAGGATTTGAACTTGTATTGTTCAACAGTCTGGATTTTAACTTTTGGTTTGTTGCTCCAACCAACTGAGCTATCCCGCCACATGTATTGAAAAAAAAAATCTTTATATTTTTTGCAAAAAAATGTTTTTGAAATAGTTGATTTAATAACCCTAAAAAAAAAAAAAACAGTAAGCAAATTATTTAAGTTTTAATTTTTTAAAACTTAAATAAATCTAAATTTATTTTAATTTCCTATTTTATTAGTTATGCTTTCTTTGTTTTGAAACATTGTTTTTTCATAGTTTTGATGTTTTAAAAATAAAAAAAAGAGAATTTTATGATGTCAAATTCACAAGCTAAACGTCAAAATTCACAAGCTAATTGTTTTTTATTTTAAATAAGGCTTACTGTAGTGGCCATCACTTATTTGGGATATGTGTGCCTCAAGCAACAACTTAGGATAAGGAAAACTCTGATATAAGTCACCAATTTAATTGTGAGCATTGGTAGGAGGAGCTTTCAAGTATTGAATCCTCCTAGTATCGAAATAAAGATATTTAGTCCTGTCAGGAAGGGCATTATAGTTTAAAGTAGACATTCACACACGCAAATGTTTAAAAAAATTTAAATATAAAGTTTTTTTTTTGTGTAAAGTCTTAAGTATTTTAAAAATTGTATAATGACAAAAATATTTAAGCAAAAAAAAAAAATAGGAATTTAAAAATATTTATTTATCTGTTTATTTTTCTTTTAGGTTTTTCATTTACAGATATGTTGAATTAAAATCTATTAAAAGAAACTTTTAGACAAACATTTGGTAATTTTAATATGAATTAAACAAAGATGAAACAAAAAATTTCATATCATCTCTCCAGCCTGATGTTTCGAGAGTTACTTTTGTTCTGTAATCAAACTGTGTTTTCAGTTGTTTGTACTCCTTCAACAGTTGAGATACAAATGAATATTCGATGTTTGGCAATTGATAAACTGAGGTTTGTTGATGCGTTTCTCTGTGAATATTCGTTGCAATATTACAACAACACCATTCTTTTTTCCAGTGTTAACACTGGTGGTATCTGCAACAATCATCTGTATTGAATTCCATAGGTGAAATTCATTGAGGACTTTAGAAATTCCTTGAGCAATAATTAAAGCCCTGCCATCTACCAAGCTAAGGGCTTTCAACTTGATTTCTCTTCTTTCATTTTTAAGGACGACCACTTGATAATCCATTCTGTCGATGTGCTTGCCATCAAATTGTAAGGGCCAACTTTCCATATGCCACTTTTCAATCATTTCTTCCTTCAGCTTGATTGCCTCTTTGATTGTTGACTTTGATTGTAAATAGCTGATTGAGACAATCGATTGTCCTCAATAACCATGTTCCATCCACTTTAGTAAAAAATTTCATCAAGGGGTTTGTAGCTTTCCCGCCTGGCACATTCATCATAACATTTCAGTATTTTATCAAGCTTTGCTCGTATAACTTGATCAGATACATGAGGGAAATTCAGTTTATTCTTCCACAATTTGGTGACTTCTTTGAAAATTTTTGCTTTTGCTCCTTTCTTCCTTTGATTTTTGGTCCAAGGAAATGGTATATTAAGTAAATGGAGAAATATAATTTGATTTGCTTGGTGACTTTTTTTTACAACGCCCACACTCTCCTGAAATGGTTTAAAAGAGCTATTTATGGTTCTTGCAAAAGTATAATTTTTCTCATAAAATTATAATTATCATTTTAATTAAAATAAAAAACACAATGTCATTAAAAAAAATTAATTGCATAATATACAGAAATGCTTTTTAAAAGGCACGGTTGTTGCAAAAAAAAAATTCGAATTAAAAAAGAGCTCCGATTTAAATGAGGAGCAGCTCGCACAGCTCCCCAAATTTGTTTTAGGAGAGCTTTTTTCTGGTCTCGTACTCATTTATTCCCGCTAAGGCCTATATATATATATATATATATATATATATATATATATATATATATATATATATATATATATATATATATATATATATATATACATATATATATATATATATATATAAATATATGTATATATATATATATATAAATTTATATATATATATATATTAAATTTGTATATACATACATACATATATACATAACCACACAAGTAAAAATAAACATAAGTAAATAACTAACACTTTTTAGGTAATCATCATACAATGACTACCAATAGAGGAAGTTTTCAGAATAAGAAAAAAGCTGCTGTTTCATTTTCAATAAGAGAAGAATCTGAATATAAAAACAGGTTAGGAGTGAATGCTCTTCAGTATGATCCTGAAAAATCATATTTATTTTCTGCAGGCAGAGACTCTATTATTCGATGCTGGAATGTTGAAAAAGAAGAGGTTTCTTTTATTTTTTGGTGTTTTTAATTTTAAATTTTCATTATATATATATATATATATATATATATATATATATATATATATATATATATATATATATATATATATATATATATATATATATATATATATATATATATTTAATTGTTCACCTCCCCAAGGTCCAAAGGGCCACTACAGTCAAGGAGGCTACTCATTTTATATATATATATATATATATATATATATATATATATATATATATATATATATATATATATATATATATATATATATATATATATATATACATATATATATATATATATATATATATATATATATATATATATATATATATATATATATATATATATATATATATATATATATATATATATATATATATATATATATATATATATATATATATATTTGATAAAAAAGCTCATTAACAAATTAAGATTAATTAGGTTTTAGTAATACTTTTTTAAGTTTTACTCTTTAATGTTCTTTATCATTCGTTGCTACTGCAAAGTTTCTTAGGCCTTTTGGAACCTTTTTGACACACTACATTAAATTTACCTTGATCACATTGAAGACCAGGTTCATCACAATTAAAAATGTGGAATGGTTTTGTTGCGAATCCATGTATATTGAAGATATCAGAAACTTGTGCAAACGCTAAAAGTAGAGCAGTTTATAAAAAAGGGACAAGTTGTAAACATTACAATCAAATTGAATTTTACCTTTTAAAAATAGCGCTTTTTTTTTTTTTATTAAAAAAATAATTTATTATAAAATATATTTACATATAAACATATAGTTTTAATATATACCATCAATCAATAGTGCCTGGCTGAGTTGATATTGCACGGTTTGACGGCATATTGTTTGACGTTCTGAGCGATAGTTCGTCACAATGACATCTAATAAATGAGTAATACTAGGCAAGTGTAACTTCCTCACCATTAAAACACATTTGAATTAATCAATTTCAAGTCTAGTTAAACCAAAAGCAATATCACTCATAAATATTAAATTTTTTACTAAAATGTTCTTGATGTTTTTGCCCAACTTAGTTGATTTGCCATTTTTTTTAGTATGCTTGCTATTATTTTTGTTGATGAAAACTGATCTTTTAAAACCAAATGTTATAACTGCTTTCCTTTTACTCATACCTTTATCCACAGCCTTTGAACCACGAGACATCTGAGTTTTTTCACGTAAATCCATAGATGATATATTTCAATGCGTTGCAATATATATTATTATTTTGTAATTAGTTCATGTTCAGTGATTTAAATTTACCAATAATTTTGAAATCAAAATTTACCTGCAAATTAAATGGTAAATTTTATTTTAATACAATTTAATTTTTAAATTATAAACAAGTTCTTTATTCAAATAAAATACCATGGTGAGTATCCATTATAAAAATGTCAAAACTTACTGGTGAATTTACAGTTTAAAGGGACTACCAAGTCCTGAGACATGCAGTGTTCATATTAAAGAAAATGTAAAAAAAAAAATGTCTGAGCAAATTTTTTTTGATTAAAATTAATTAATAAATGTTTACCAAGAAAATCTTGTTGTTTTAGTTGAAGCTCGTCTTCTCTATTTTTTGCGGTATTTTGAGTATGTAAAATAAACGCGATTTTCCAGGCGCATTATACAGTCTTGATAATTTATTCTAGCGTGTTTAATTCATACGAGATTTAGTGCATGACGTCATTAGAAACAATTCTTTAAAAATTTTACTATTAAATTTTACTAAAATAGCTAACTATAATTAGTTATTTTATTTTCTTAAATCTTCACATTGAAAAAAACTTTGTTTTTTTGTAGCTATCAGAACCGTGGCTACATGTTTTTTTTCTCGTTTTTCAAGTTAGAGAACGTGATCATGGCTGTTTGCGCAAGTTATATTATATGCGTTACTGAAAAATTGTTTTAAATTTAATAACTGCATAAGAAATTAAAGTAAGTTTAAACAGAAAACAATAATAATAGTTTAAATAGTTTGTGTGTTGTTTTTTTATTTTTGTTTTTTCTTAGTGGTTACTATCGGCAACAAAATTCATCAAGTCAAAGCAAAAATAAAAATAAAAAAAAAAAGAAATGGTTTTAGATGTTAAAAAGGATATCTTTCTCATATTTTATGTTTTTTCTTTTAAAGAGGAAAAAGAAAATATGTATTGCCATCTGTTTGTAAAATATATTTGTTTAATTATAATGTAACAAGTTTATATCAAGAGTTAAATTATACGATCGCATTTGCAAACTCTGGTAAAATATAAGGTTTTTTAAAGTTTTAGTTCATTCAAAGCTGTGTACTTTGTTTATAAGGAGCAAATTATTAAAAGTTTGCTAGCAAGAAAGTTACAAAAAACAAAACAAAAACAATAAACTTATGACTACAAAAGTAATAACACTTTAGTCACTAACTTCATTATAAAAGTAATAAAACTACAATATTGTTATTACATTTATAAAGCACTTATTACTTTTAAAGCTCATTCTTTGTTCTAAATTTTAGTTCATACAAAGCTGCGTACTTTGTTTATAAGGAGCAAATTATTAAAAGTTTGCTAGCAAGAAAGTTACAAAAAACAAAACAAAAAGAATAAACTTATGACTACAAAAGTAATAACACTTTAGTCACTAACTGCATTATAAAAGTAATAAAACTATAATAGTGTTATTACATTTATAAAGCACTTATTACTTTTAAAGTTCATTCTTTGTTCAAACAATATTATTAATTCCAAACATTTATTAAAATAGAAAAGCATCTAGAAAAAATAAAGCAGATATTCAAATATTATTAAAAATTTCAGGAACTTTCTTATATCACATAAACAACTTTATAAAAAAGTACTTAATAAAAAGTATAGCAATACAAAAAATGTTACATAAAAATGCGCGTTAATTTTAAAATTAACCAATAAAAAATTTTTATTGGTTAATTTTAAAATTAATGCGCGTTTTTATGGTCCATTAGTAACGTTTTTCATAATGCTAAGCTTTTAATACGATACATTTTCATAAAGTTGTTTGTAACAATTTTATAAGTTACAATATTATTTGAACATCTGCTTTATTCTTCTAGATATTTTTCTACTTTAATAAAAATTTGGGAATACTAATGTTGCTTGAACAAAGAATGAATTTTATAAGTTATAAGTGCGTTATAAAAGTAATAACACTATTATAGTTTTATTACTTTTGTAATACAATAGTGAATAGAGTGTTATTACTTTTGTAATCGTAAGTTTATTGTTTTATTTTTTATTTTTTCGCTAACAAATTGAAGTTGATTCTTCCCTTAAAAACAAGGAACACAGTTTTGTATTAACTAAAATTTTGAATACTAGATATTTTTCCAGATTTTGCGTTTTGCATTCACCTTATTCAACCCTTGTTGTTACATTAAAATTATACAAATAAATTTTACAAACACATTGCAATTTGTATTTTTGCTATCCTCTTAAAAAAAATTAAGAAAAAATCATTCTTTTTATTGTAGACTTCAAATTTTTTTTTTAAATTAATTTGAGTTTTCATGCTATATTTTTCTATACAATGTTCTTATATCCTTAGCATAGGAATAGCCACAAATAGTCATTAAGACTAATCCAAAGTAGCGTCTGTTATTGACCAACATTTTTGCGTACCGAAGTACTACTCAAGCGCTGAGTTGGCGGTGGCGGGATTTGAACTTATATCATTCAACAGTCCGAGTTTTAACTTTTCCTTTAACACTCTAACCATCTGAGCTATCCCGCTACAGATTGAAATTGTTTTTTTTTTTGCTTCGCCTTAACTAATTTTGTTGCTGAATGTAACTCTAAACAAACTTTAAACTGTTTTTTTTTTTGCTTCACCTTAACTAATTTTGTTGCTGAATGTAACTCTAAAGAAGAAAAAATAAAAACAGTACACAGGTTATTTAAATTATTAATTTGTTTTTATTTTTTTCTATTTCAGTCTCTTTTTATTTTGTTAGTTTTGTTTTTTTGTTTTTGAAACTTTTTCAGCATTATTATAAAACTTGCAAATGGCCGTGTTCACGTTTTCTAAAATATTATAATCGCATGTGGTCATACAAGACGAAAAACCGCACGTCTTTTCTGGGATGGCTTGACATGTCTCGGGACTTGGTAGTCCCTTTAAGTTACCTGTAAATTTACGGAATCACAACACAAGTTCATATTCACAAAGTCACATTTTTAACTTATCAACATTTTACAATATTCTTGCTAATTGTCTTCTTTGTTGTTTATCCATGAATGACCGAAGTTAGCAGAGTTTGGGAAAAAGCTGAAAACAATGAAAAAAATATGTGATAACAATAGAAGCCGGGTTTTTAATTGTGTTAAAAATACAAAATTGGTAAAGAGATTCGCATAAAAAAATCCCATTTATATGCTTTTGACTGTTAAATTATAATTAAAATTTCACTTATTATCTGTTAAATACAGGAAAAGTGTTTGTTTTTTAAGATTTTTTTTTTTTAGTTTTTGAAATATTTTAACTTAATTTTTATATATTTACATGTGTAAAAAACACTCTTTAAAAATTTGTTTATTGTCTCTTCTGATAGTTAACAAGTTAATTTTGTTTTTTTAAAGATAAAATATTTTTATCATAAAAAAATGACATTAAACTGATGGTGTTATTTTTTTAAATATAAAATATGTTTATTCTACATTCTAATACACTTTTCAATATTAGTTAAGTATGAAATTAGTACTACAAGCTTTTACTTCGAATTAAAGAAAGAATGGTTCCAGTAGTAGAAATATTTTCCACACCAATTCTTGAAATAAGTTAGCAATGTTTTGCAAAGACTCAGTAACTTGTCATTGCTCGTAAATTATTTATTGCCCCTAAGTTGTTTCAACTTTCTAACTTTTGAATTTTAAAAATAGATATGTTAAAATCTCTATTCTAATAAAAAAAAAATTGCTTAGAATTGATTTTAAAAATTGTATAATAACGACAGCTTATCACAAATATAGTCATTAACTAAAATTAAATTATAATCCTCAAAGTTAAAAAGAAATCGTTTTTTTCAATTTACTTCCTGTCCTGTCTGTAAAAACTCTGATCAACAAAAATAATAATAAAAATTGCTGACCTCTAATAATAACACACATACACACACTCACACGCAAACACACATGTATATATATATATATATATATATATATATATATATATATATATATATATATATATATATATATATATATATATATATATATATATATATATATATATATATATATATATATATAGTTTATTCTTATTGAAATGAAAACGGCTGTTTTTAATATTGGTGACTTATGGCATGTTTATTTACATGTGTTATGTGTATGATAAATGACAAATTTTTCAATGTTCAGTCACATATATAACTGTTTATAGTTTTTTTAAATAATGTTTAATTAAAAATTAAAATTTTTGTTTGGTTTTGTTTGTTTAGAGTATTTATATTCAATCTTATGAACACCACACAGATTGGGTAAACAGCATGGTGCTGTGTCAAAATGGAAAAACATGTATTTGTTTGCTTATATATATATATATATATATATAATATATATATATATATATATATATATATATATATATATATATATATATATATATATATATATATATATATATATATATATATATATATATATATATATATATATATATATTTTTTTGTTTTAATGTTTTTTTTTCCTTCTTCATAATTCATTCATAATTTTTAGTCCTATCTGCATCTTCTGATACAACTGTTAAAGTATGGGACTCTGCTCGTGGTTATTGTAAGTCAACATTACGTACTCACAAAGACTACGTCAAAGCATTAGCCTATGCAAAAGATAAGGAACTTGTTGCAAGTGGTGGATATGATAAACAAATTTTTCTTTGGGACGTTAATGTTCTAACTTCCCTCACATCAACTAACAACACTGTAATAAGTATGATTTAATTGCAATTTATTTTCTATAAATGTTAATTTTTTAATTTATAAAAGTACAAAACTATAAAGATGTGAAATTTGGAGTGAGAAATTATTAATTGGTTATGGGTCTCTACCCATAAGTATTATGGGTTTTATGTGTTATGCAGTTTTTTAAAAACATTTAATAGTTTTTGAAATTGTCTAATTGTAGACAACAAATGATTTAAAATCTACAGGAAGATGAAAAAAATTAGATACTTTTAACAAAGTGAATACTAATTTTACGGTAACCGACTTACAATGTCTCTTCATAATTGCATGTAATCTTCGTTTCGTTAGCTCAGATATTCGACTAATATAAGGAAGTTTGAAATAGGGAGAGTTTGTTAGGTCTTCATATGGTAATAGAACGACATTTGTTAAAATAATTTTAATAAATTTTTTTGTATATATAGGAAGTTTGTTTACAATTTTATGGCTTTATTATGCTTTTTTTTACAATTATATACTATATTTTATACTGTTTTTTAACAAATATATTTTAACTGATGACTATATATAGTCGAAACTTGTCTTAAATAAAAAAATGTTTTTAAATAAATTAAAAAATTTGTCTTATTTTTAAAAGTAATATCACATTTTGTGCTGAAAAGAATTTTTTTATAAAATATAATGACATTTGCTGAAAAGAAGTTTATTATAAAATATAATAAATGACATGGCACATAATTATAAACAATTTTCTAAAAGTGATTTTAGAAAACTTAAAAAACTACACATGAAGTTAGGTAAAGCTAATTTAGATATTAAGTTTTTGAATAGCTGTAGAACTCTTGGAGTTCTATAGAAATTTGTGTGTTTTAATTTACCTGGTGCATCTAAGTTGGATTCTTGTTTGATAAGAAAAAGATTACTTCGTAGTGCAATAGCCAGACGCAACAAAGAGAAACTACTATTTTGTAAAGAAATTACTCTTATTAAAGCCAATATCAAAGTGAATTTATCTTCAATAGTTTGGTTTATTTTGATCAAAGCTTTGAATTGTAATACCAAAAAAGAGATAGAAAAGTTTATAAAAATTCACAAAAAGAAATTAAAAAATTTAACAAATGGCAAAGTTACTTCATTAAATGCTTCCGATATCATCACAAACTGTTCTTTGTATAAACTTTTGGATGAGGAGTCAGACATTCTTTAAAATGGTTTAAATTTCTCAATTTCACCTAAACATCTTAGACATTCCAATGTATACTCTTCCTTTGAACTCATTAGTCGATTTGTTCAAAATAATATAAAAACGAATGATGATTCTGGTAAATTAAAAGCTTAACTATCTTATTTCATCAATTCATATATATATAACTACTAACCATCTAAAAAATCTTTAAAAAAGCATGGCATTTAAAAAAAAACTAACTTTTAAAAAACAAAAATCTGGATATTGTCATTTTAAAACCAGATAAAGGAAATGGTGTTGTTATATTAGATAGGAAGGTTTATGACAACGGAATTTACAATATTATTAATGATCCAACTAAATTTAAACACTTAAAAAAAGACGTTACCATTAATAGGAAACCCAACTTCAAAACTTCTTAAAGAAACTAAAAAGTCAAGGTTTCTTTGATGATTCAAATTATAATAAAATTTATCCTACAGGCTCTCGTCCTGCTCGCATATACGGTCTTCCGAAAATGCACAAATTAAAGTCTTCTGATCATGATATATGTTTTTGACCTATTGTATCGTCTATTGGTACTTATAACTATCATTTGGCTAGATTTCTTCAAAATTTATTATCTCCATTAATACCCTCTGAGTTTTGTACTAAAGATTCTTTTACCTTTGTTAATGAAGTAAACGAAGCGAACCTATTTAACAGCTTTCTTGTATCTTTTGATAACACAAGTTTATTGACAAACATTCCAAAACAAGAAACAATAAATATTGCTGTCGTTGTCATCATGAAAAATAATTAAAATTTTAAAATCAACAAAAGTAATTTAAAAAAACTCTTTCTTTTTGCAACAGCACAAACCCACTTTCACTTTAAAGGACAGGTTTATGACCAAATTGATGGAGTTGTTATGGGTTCTCCATTAGCACCTGTACTTGCTAATCTGTTTATGGGTAATTTTGAAGAAAAATGGGTCAAATCTTATAATGGAGAAAAACCGTTGTTTTACAAACATTATGTAGATGACATTTTTGCTGCTTTCCCCTCAGAAAACCATGCAATTTTATTCTTGGATTATATAAACAAAAAACATTCTTCAATATCTTTTACCATGGAAAAAGAAGAAAACTTAAAAATACCTTTTTTTTGGACATAACTCTATGTAAGTCGATCAGTTCAACAATTACAACAGTTTTTCATAAAAAAACCTTTACTGGATTATACATCAACTTTTACAGCTTTACTTCGTTTTCATATAAAATAAGTCTTATAAAATGTTTAATTGATAGAACTTTCAAAACTAACAACACTAGCCTTGGTCTCCGCTATGATATTAAAAATCTTTTTAAAATTTTCAAACGTAATATGTACCCTTCTTGGCTATTAGAAAAAATCCACAACACTTACTTAAATTTTATTTCATTCTATTAACGCCTGAAGACCTTACAAACTTCTTTGTATTGGTCGAATATCTGAGCTAACGAAACGAAGATTACACGCAATTATAAAGAGGCATTGTAAGTTTTAAATCATTTGTTGTCTACAAATTTGTTTGTGCAGGATGTAAATCCTGTTATATTGGCAAAACCTCTCGCCACCTAAAGACGCGAGTGATATATTTGTAGCATCATCTCCTAGTGATGCTAAGTCTACTTATATATTTATTTTTGCAGCATCATCTCTAAATGATGTTAAGTCTACTTAGATATTTGTTTTTGTAGCATCATCACTAAGTGATGTTATGTTTACTTATATATTTAATTTTGTAGCATCATCGCTAGGTGGACAAAAAGAATCAATATACAGTTTAGCTATGAACAACTCTGGTACTATTCTTATATCAGGCTCAACAGAAAAGGTGATTAGTTTAAAAAGTTTTTTCGATTTTTTTTGCTTCCTCTTGTATAACATTGATACTTTCACAAATAAAAAAAGTAACAATTAAGTTTGTAGTGGTTTGTAATCAATAAAGCTTTGTTATTTTTTTGTTATTTTGTTTTTTGTAATTTGTCAAAAAACATTCAACTATCTTATGCAAATTATATAATCATCAATTAATCATTTCAAATTTTTTTTTTTATGACCAGTTTGTACAGTTTGTAATTCTTCTTTTTTTTGAAAAAGAATAATGGTTGAAGTTTCAATTTTATGGTTTCCATGGTTTCACACTTTGAAGTGGAGTGTTTCTTTAGTGTTATTTGTTTTATTACATTTGTTCTATTTGTTCTATTACACAAGGTTTTTATTCTTTTTTGTTGATATTTGTGAGAGTATTGATATAAAAACTAATACCTGTAGAACTAATATGTTTAAAATATATTTATGTTTACGTAAGCTCTATAGAGTCTTTAGTCTATAGAGTCTTTAAATTTTTTTTTGCAAAATGAACAATTTATTTTACATAAATCTAATTACTGTAATAGTTTATAGCTGTAGTTACATTTTTACTAAAATAAATAACAGCACATCAATTGTTAATATGTCAATATCAATATGACATTAATGATTGGAACCTTGAATTATCTTCATTAATTGTTTTAATTGAGTTTGAATCATCAAAATATTCCATCCCTTGTACTTGTCAGATTTTATTGTTATAGTGGCGTCAGAAAAAGCACAAAACCAAGCTTTTTAGTATA